TGAGCTGTCTTTCCACCCTTCCAAACATGATGTCCTTCTCTAAGGTCTAGTCCCTCCTGGCCAAGCACTCAAAGTATGTGAGACAGAGCCTCAAAATCTTTGCCTTCAGGGAGCAAACTGGTTTAATCCTCTCTAGGACAGACCTGTTTGTTCTGACAGTCTTTTCCACAACTCAAAGGCATCGATCCTTCTTCTGTTATCTTCAGTTACTGTCAAGATCTCTGATGCTTAAGTAATTAAGAAAACCATGGCCTGGACAAGGTGCACCTTAGTCTCTAGACTGATATTGTTGTTCTTCAGTACTCTAGAGAAGTCCCCGATGGCAGACTTTCCCCAATGTAATTCACCTTTTGATTTCTTACCTGCTAGTGCCAAGAGAGTTGTTGGAACCAAACAAGAAGAAGTTATCAATAGTTTCAATCTCTTCTCCATCCATAATAAAGATGCCAATAGCCCTAGTGGCAAGAATCTTTGTTTTCTTGATGTTTAACTTCAATCATATTGAAGACTGCAGTTCTTTATCTTCTGCAGCAAACACCTCATGTTCTCCTTAGTTTCAGAAAGCAAGGTTGTGTCATCTGCTTAAAACAGGCTATTGGTGAATCTTTCTCCAGTCCTGATGCCACATTCCTCCTCTTAAAGTCCAGCTTCCATAAAACCAGTTCCACATATAGATTGAAATGATATGGAGATAGGATGCATCGCTGGTGTACACTTTTCCTGATCCTGAAACATGCAGTGTTTCCCTGCTCTGCTCTGAAAAGTATAGATTTTACATGAACACAATTAAGTGTTCTGGAATTCCCATTCTTCTCAAGATCAGTCACAATTTGTTGTGATCCACACAGTCAAATGTCTTTGCATAGTCAATGAAACACAGACATTCCTCTGGCACTCTGCTTTCAGCCAAGATGCAGATAATGTTGTCTATGATGTCCCTAGTGCTACAGCCTCTTCTAAACCCAGACTGAACATTTGGCAGTTCTCAGTTGCTGTACTATTCCAGTCATTTATGGATAAGCTTCAGCAGGTTCTTGTTGTGTGTGATATTAGTGAAATTATTCAATAATTTTCACACTCTGTTGGGTCATCTTTTTTTTGTAATGAGAATAAATATAGATAGATCTTTTCCAGTCAGTTGAATCTGTTGCTTATATCTGTTAATTCTGAATTAATCTTTTCCTTGAACATGTTTAAAGCAATATTTTGCCAGATAAGTTCTTTTATTTTTTTTCAGATGAGTTCTTTTAAAAGTCAAGTAGTACTTAGATTTGTTCATATTATCAACAGACTCTGAAGGTTTGGAATCTGTGTCATTCTTAAGTTTTGGGGTTCATTTCTGATCCTGGACTTTCTCTAAGGAAGTTTTACATACATACAGAAAGAAAAAAAAGTTGTAAAAGTATGTCTCCTAGTTAGTTTCGGAACCCTTCTTTTTCTTGTTTCTCTGTCCTTTAATCCCAAAAGATGATATCTTGTCCTTAATTGTGATGAGAATGATCACAGAAACTTACCATCATCGAGTTGATTCTAACACTTAGTGACTCTGTTTAGCTGACATCTACAAATAGCAGCCACTGGAAAATTGACTTGGAAGAACCTTGAAAACAAACTGTGAGCCAACAGGCTAATTATGAGGAAAAGCTTCAATGAGATGGATTAGCATGGTGATGGCAACAATGGCCTTGAACTTGGTGAAGACAGAGGATTGAACACAGTAAGACAAGGTTTCCATCTTGTCTGGCTTTTTTAATTTTTTGTTTGCATACATTAATTTGTTTATATTGTGTTTCATTCAGGGACACTGGGTTTGTGGATTGTTTCCCCCACCCTCCGCTCTCCAAACTCTGTGACCTTGTGATTTCCTCCCTTACCCATCTTCAACCCTCATGCTCCCTCCCCTTACCTCTTATATACACTTTACTGATTATCCTTTTGTTTTTACAATAGTGGTCCTATACAGTATTTGTTTGTACATGCCTGAGTTACTTCACTCAACATAAATCTCTTTAGTCTCCGCTATGCTATATAGTATAATAGAACAGCAAGCAAGAGAAGTTGGGGAGGATGTGGAGAGATTGGAACTCTCAAACACTTTTTGTGGGATTATACCAACACTCTGCAATGCAGTTTAGCATTTCCTCAAAAAGCTGTACATAGAGATTCCATATGACTCAGCAATTCTACTGTTAGGTGTATACCCCAATGAAAACAACTAAGAAACAAATAGAGATTTATATGTGGATGTTCATAGCAGCATTATTCATAATAACAAGAACATGGAAACACCCTAAATGTCCATCGACTAACAACTGGAATGAGAAATTGTGGTGCATTCACATAATGGGATACTATGCAGCACTCAGAGTAATGATTTTGAAAAATACTATATAACATATCTTTGTCATAGAGTTGGTATGAGTTGTAGTGGACTTGAGGGAACTTAACAGCAATAGGTTAAATATGGGGTTAAATATAAGATAATTTCAGTGTTTCAGAACTTAAACAAAATTAATATATATTCTGCTTAAAAATTAATATACAAATTAGGGCATGAGCCATAAAATAGCTGCCTTACAAAACAAAATATCAATACACTAGCTGTGATAATTAAAAAGTCTCCATTGCATTTCTATTGGAATCTACTCATAGCTGACCCTCCGTTGCATTTCTGAGGCTGCAAATTACACAGGAGGAGACTGCCCCACTTTATTTGTAGAACCACTTGTGTGTTTGAACTGCTAGAGAGGCAAGGATTTGGGCTAGCAGAGCAAATCTCTACAGGCTCCACAACCAGACCTCCTTAGGTATGATCACAGTGTTACATAATAAAGTAGAAACTTCCAAGTTCAAGTATTATTCTAAAATTATAATTCAGTCTCAAAATATGCTACTGCATTGAGATTTACTTTCAATGCTTTAGAAAAAATGTCATGTTTAACAAAATGTTAACAGTGGAACATTATCAAACAATTACAATATACTGTATTCTTAATGGAAAAGCATGCTAAAATCACTTTAGTTTGAATTGGTAAGCTTATCATATAAAGATAGCAATTCAGAAACCTAGCTCTGCTACCTGAATATATTATCTCCCAATTCACCTTTTTCTGAAACTTGTTTGCAATAGCCTTTCTGAACTATCTTTCTTGTAATTAAAGCCTCATAAGGATCCATTTCAAAAAGAAGCATAAAAGTCAATCCTGTAAAGACATTGTATATTCCTACTTTTATGAAATCACATAAATAGGCAAAAATACAGACAATAATCTTTTGAGTCATTACAAAAAGTGGGAAGGAAGATTGAGTAGTATTTTCTAGATTGCAGTCTCTTATTGTTAATAGGACTGGGAAAAGTGGTACTGAACGTATGTAGTGTCAAAATCATGACTGATGTTACTTATTTAAATAAGCTAACTGCCAAGAAAGCAAATAGGTCTTTCTTGGAGAGGGACAAACCAAGTTTCTCCGTGGAGGCTAGGATTTTAAAACTCTGTCTCACATACTTCTGGCATGTGGCCAGAATGGACCAATCCTTGGAGAAGCACATCATGCTCAGAGCAGTGGAGAAACAGAATAGGAGTAGAAGATCCTGGATGAGATGGATTGATACAATAAGTAGGGCAATTGGGGTAGGTGTGTCGCAGTCAGTGAGACTGGCTCAGGACAAAGGAGGGTTCAGAGCTGCTGTCCATAGGTTCACTATAAGTTGCAGGTGACTTGACAACACATAAAAACAACAACAGCAAATGCAGGGAGAAAGGAAGACTGGAACAATACTAGGTTGTATATGGTTCTGCAACAGGAACAACTCAAAAAGGAGATACGTGATTACTAAAGCTGCTGATGTTGTTTATACACGTACACATTATTAATAATCTTATTGCCTCTGGAAACTCTATGAGCTTAGAGAAATGACACTAGTTATAGAATAGGATTCAAGTCTTTTGTTCACGGGGTCACTGAGTCATGTTTGCCTCGATGACATTTAACAACAACAACAATAATCTCATGAGGTTAGTTCAATTGCTTTAGAGAATTCAGGCTATAGTTTTATGGTACATTCTAATAAACTGGTGCAATATAATTCTTAATACTTACTTTTCTACCTCCCAGGATACTGAGTAGTTTCAGGGGTCTTAAAAGCTTATGAATGATCACAAAAGTTACAACTATTGTTGTGTTTACATCTTTAACACAAGACAAAAAAGAAAACCTAAGAGTTGGAGAAGGATTACACTAGAAGACTTACTGTCTACATGAATCGCCGCCTCTGGTTCCTTGAACCCAGAGAACTAGATGGTGCCTGGATACCACTACTGAATATTCTGATCAGGAATAAAAAAAGATGAATCTTAGCAAGAAGTGAGAAATGTGGAATGAAATTTCAAATTTTTAAAGAATCCAGACTATATGGACCATTTGAAGCCGGAAGAGACTCGGACCCTGAATTGTGATTCAAACTTATTCCTTGAAGTCATCTTTAAGTAGCAGCTGTCCAAAGGGTAAAGATTGTAATTCTTGAGTATTCTACTAAAATATAAATAGAAATACTTACACAAATTAGAAATAACTATAATTATATTTTATAATAAATTAGAAATATTTCATATTTTGTTTTCAATACTCTTAACAATACAGTATATTGCATTTTATATTTTGTTGTTGACAATAGCAATTATCAAAGGGACGACAGCAATACAGCAATTCTAAAGTATAGATGAGATATCTGCCATCCAGTAAGTTAAAATAAATGAAAATGGAACAATTAGAACAGAAAGAATAACTATGTTGACACAACATAAAGAATGTGTGCAATGTTGCTAATCATTACATCTAGAAACTATGGAATAGGAGCTAGTTTTGCTGTATACTTTGTAATAAATTAAAAACACATAAACTCCCCCCTCACCCTCCCCTCAAAAGGCCAAACACCTCCAAATCAAAAACAAAACCAAAGAAAAAGAAAGCACAGAAGGCATATCACGCATAATGCTTACTTGTTAAAACTGTGATTGATCGAGATGGCTTGGTCACCACATTTCCATTTACCACGACTAGAGTGATTATATAATAAAGTCCATGATAATTGGCCTTAAAGACAATAGGAGGAGGCAAAGTGCTATTGAATTCTTCAAATTCAAAAAAGTAATTTTTAGATTCACCAGTTATCTTCACAACATAAACAGATGATGGATTCGTGATGTCTGAAGATTCCAAAGAGACAACGATGTTGTTATCATCTTGGACGGTTACATGGAAAGCTGTAGCATCCTGTTTAAGACAAGAAATAAAAGGGAATGCAGGTCAAATTTAGATTATGAGCAAAACAATTTTTCTGAGATAATTCTGAAATAAATGTTTGTGAAAAGTGTTCTTTTGTGAAATAGAATTATTTAAGTTGTATAACAAAAGCAGAAAGGGAGAGATTAACTCTTATGACTAAGAATTTTACTTTGAGGATTTTTCTTCATTGAAAAACTGCATGCAGTTAATAAAATGTGCCATAGAATATACAGTCAATGTCATGTGAATCAGTAAATAATGAATTAATCAAAGTGGTTTTGGTACTAATAATTTAGAGACATTCTTAATCTTAGTCATGCTGGAAAAGCTACTTGTTTGAAGAAGTATTCCGTTTTACTGGAGGAACAGTAATGCCGTGAGTTACTTTAATTCACTTTTCACCTGCAATATCTGAAGTAAAAAAAAAATTAAGTCTGAAAAACCCTCATTACTCTGGACACTGAGCTAAACTGTGCTCAATAAAATTTTCAAAGATATGACCTTTCTGCAACAGACCACTAGATGGTTCTTTCAATGTGCCTCTGGATGGGTTCCCAGCTCCTGACCTGTCAGTTTTTAGTCAAATAGTTAACTCCTTGCATCACTCAAGCACTACTCATTAATGACTATCCTCTGCTGATAAGTCCCTGTAGGATAGAATAAAACTGTTCCATAGAGTATCTGAGACTGTAATCTTTACAGAAGCAGATTGCCACATATTTCTCCCACCAACTGGAGTTTGAACCACAGCCCTTTCACTTAGCCAAGTGCTTATCTAGGAAAACAAACATGCTTAAGAAGGGATTGAAGACCTGTAGCATTTATGGAAAAGTCAGCAGCTGATGGGTTTAAGAAGGTATTTAGAATATTTGAAGAGTCATTTCTGTCATTGGTTTAAGTATTTCTTCCTCTTTGCTGCTTTCCCATATTCCATAGGCAGAGTTAATACTTCCAGTCTCAAACAGGACTCAGATACTTCATTACCACTTGCAGATTTGTTTTTAAATTTTTCTTCTAAGTCTGTGATATTCTGAGTAAATTATTTTACTGATCTAAGTCTTAGATTTCTCTCTTAGTTGCATCAAGCTTGGTGGAAGACTAACCATTTGCTTTATGAAGATAACATAGCCTAGATTGCTGAAAGTGAAGATGACTTGTAGCACTTGCTGTAGAGGATCAAAGACTAAAGCCTTCAATATATGTTACATCTCAACATTAAGAACAAAGATGCTCACCACTGGTCCAATAGGCAATGTTATTATAGACAGAGAAAAAGAATTATTTAGGATAGGATTTTGAAGCTCTGTCTCACATACTTTGGGCATGTGGCCAGGAGTGACCAGTCTTTGGAGAAGGGGACATCATGCTTGGAAAGGTAGAGGGACAGAAAGGAGTGGAAGACCCCAGATGAGATAAATTGATACAGTGACTGTCACAATGGAGGTAGGAGTGTCAGCATCAGTGAGACAGGCTGAGGACAGGGCAAATTTCAGAGTTGCTATACATAGGGTCATTATGGGTTGCAGGGGACTTGACAGCACATAGCAGCAGCAGCAGTAGCAACTTTTAAAGAATTCTTAATTTTAATACCTCACCTTTTGTCAACAGCTAAATCAAGCATCCATACATCAATGGCTCCAGAGGCTATTTGTAGATCTAAAATATACTACTTTTTAATTTCATTTTTAAGAAATGTAGTTTTTAATGAATCCTAATATACTCATTTTCCCTAGCTTTTTCTTGCTGTTATAGAAGTGGATAGTTACAAACCCCTACCCAACAACAAACAACCCATAGTTTAGTCAATTTGAACTTACAGAGATCCTCATTGAGTGTCCAAGACAATAAATCTTTATGAGGTGAGACTCCCTAATTTGTCTTCCTTCAAAAGCCTGGTAGATTAAAGCTACTAGATTTTTTTTACATTAGTAGTTACAGTGGCATAGTAGATAAAGCATTGTACTGAAAATAGGAAGATTGGCTGTTCAACCCAACAGATGAACAATATTGGAAGAAAGATGAGGTAGACTGCTGTCATCAAGATTTATAGACTTCGAAATCCAATGCCATAATCAGAATGGGCTAAGGAGCCCTGGGTTAATATTCGCATGACTCCTGGTGATTACAAGTTGGGCTTCTAACATGCGGCTAAGGTCAATGGTTTGAATCCATCACTCAGGAGGCAGTCTGCTCCCATTAAGTTTTACAGCCTCAAAATACTATGGAGGGTTACTATTAAGTCAGAAAGAAATTGACAGCAATGAGTTTGGTTTGTTTTTTTAAGAAACTTAGAAGGAACCTTTGTGATGTTTTGGCTACTAACCAAAAAAGTTGGTGATTTTCAGCCACTCAATTGGTAGAAAGCTGCGACAATACGCCTCCATGAAGAGGATAGCCTAGGAAACCCTATAGGATGACTCAACTCTGTTCTAAAGGTTCACTATGAGTCAAAACCAACTCTTTGAAAAGGTTTATGGTCATTACGGCTGAAAAGATAGGAAATCTCGCTGAAGAAAGTTGTTACTGTTGTTAGGTGCTGTTGAGTCAAGTATAACTCATAGCAACCCTCTGGACAATAGATCTCAACCCTGTCCTATTCTGTGTCATCCTCATCCTTTAAGACTTACTTGAACCCGAGACTACAGTTACTGTGTCAATTCATCTTTGAGAGAACGTGGCTTGAGTAGAAACGAAGGGCTGTGGACTAAAGTAAATGTGTGATAGCAAAGATTAGTATTATAATTGCAAAAATTCTCTTGGTCGAGAAAAAAAGCTTGCAATTAAATTTAGAGCTACATTCAGCTCTAGAACTTCCTTTATTTAAAAACAAATATTTTAATAGTGTCTATGTCTTATTGTTAAAAGCAGTTTTTAGAATAGAAACTTTCTCTTTAAATGTCCTTCCTGCAAATTTTACCTTTGTTCTTTCTCTATTCTTTTCCCCCTTTATTAGAATTCTTTATAGAAAACTTTGTGAGTATTCTTGAAAATCAAGGATTTAATCAGTGGAGGGGAAAATCATACATGAAAAAAGAAGCTTCATGTTAAAAGAAGGTATTTACTAATATACTCTTCAGCCAATACAAATTAAATGTCTAGTAGATATCAGGAAGTGTACTAGGTTCTGAGGATTCAAAACAGTCCTAGAAGCTTCAGTTTGGCTGAGGTCAGCAGTTCTTTGCTCATGAATAGCCTGGTAAATGGAAATGTTAAGTATAAAGAAATTATCAACTTAACTGAAGATTATTTAATGAAAATTTTAACTTACTGAAAAAATTTCCAAAATGTACTATCCTTTTGATGCTAATTTTTAATACTGAATATATTTTAGAATTTTTTGCAATCTTGACATTTTTGCAAATAACATAAATTATTCTATTATTAATGCTTTCTGACAACAGCAACAAAAATAATCAGAAAATATGTGCATATTATACCCTCTAAAAAGGTTTTGGCAGTACACTGACAACCCAATTCAGAAGAGGTGTGGAATGAGTGGCATTACTGCTGGTGTTGGATGGAGCTAGGCTGAAAGCAGAAGATTCAGAAAGGCGTTTATCTGTGTTTGATTGATTACACAACAGCACTTAACTATGTGGACCATAGATAATCATAGATAATGCAATGGATGAGAATGACAAGACATTTAATTGTGTTCATGCAGCACCTGTATAGACCAAGAGGTGGTCTTTAGTATAGAGCAAGGCGACACGGCATGGTTGAGAATCAGAAAAGCTGTGCTGTAGGGTTGTATTCTTTCACTGCATTTAATCTACTTATACACTGAGCAAATAATCTGAGAAACTGGATTAGATGAACACACTACCAGAATTGGATAAAGACTCATTGGCAACATGCAATATGCAGGTGATACAGCTTTGCATGCTGAAAAGGAAGAGCACTTGAAGCATTTACTTATGAAGATCAAAGACTATATCGCCTTCAGTGTGAATTATAATTTAACTTAAATAAAACAAAAGTCATCATAACTGGACCAATAAGTAACATCATAGGAACAGGGAAAGCTCTGAAGTTGTTAAGGATTTCATTTTACCTGAATAAATAATGTCCATAGAAATGGTAATCAAGAAAGCAAATTGCATACTGCATTGAGAAAATCTGCTTCAAAAGACCCCTTTGATGTGTTACAAAGCTGATACATTACCTTGAGAACTAAGGTGTACCTGGCCTAGCCATGGTACTTTTCCATAATATCATGTGCATGCAAAAGTAATATAATAAATAAAGAAGAATGAATAAAGATTGGTGTATTTGAATTATGGGACTGTCAAAGAATACTGAATATAACATGGACTGCCAGAACAAACAAATCTGTCTTAGAAGAAGTGTAGCCAGAATGTTCAACAGAAGCTAGGATGATAAAACTTCTCACGTACTTTGGACATGCTTTCAGGAAGGACCTGTCCCTGGAGAAAGACATCATGCTTAGCAGCATAGAGGGTTAGCAAAAAGATGACCCTCACTGATACAGACTGATACAGTTACTGCAGCAATGGATTCAAATTGTGAGGAAGGATCAGGACCTGGTGGTGTTTCATTTTATTTCATATATTGTTTCTATGATTCAGAAACAACCAGTGACATCTAACAACAACATCCCAAAACCATGTGTTTGAGATTATTTGTATCTTCTGCATGTTAAGAGAGATTATTTGTATCTTCTGCATGTTAAGAAAATACAAAATTCACACAAATCAAGGTATCAAAAGAGCAAATCCAATAGCACTGAAATCCCAGTTTCTTATTGATCGCAGAAGTTAGTGCACTAACTCAGAAAAAAAAGCCCAAATTAGAGAAAGCTAGTTAGTAATTATGAAAAACAATTGCTGTATATTTTAACAGTTGGGAGGTGAAGATTTTTGAGTAAAGGAAAGAGGAATAAATAGACTGAAGTTAGTAAAGTGTTTAATAAATATATGTCTAAAGTGCCATCAAGCTTCATAGACAGTGAAATCTTCCAGAGTAAC